CGTGTGCTCTTCCGATCTCCCCAAAACCCCAAAACCCCGTGTGGGCTAAAATGAATTCAAGCAATATAATTTAACAAAATTAACAAATTAAGATAAACCAAGATATATTAATTTAAAAGCATAAATAGTCTAGCAAGCAAACCTTTCAATCATAACAAAGAAAAATATAAACTGAAGATGTCTAGAGCATTCTACTATGATATAGTTAGTTTGTAAGACATTTCTCTCATTTTGATTCTTGCTTGAATTGGGGTTATACCAGTTACATGATAAAGGTAATCAAAGATCATCATGAACAAAAAATCACTATTTCGCATGATGACTTAGGCTTCATGATGAACTTTCTGAAATCTAATTTATACCAAATTCCTGTTTTCCAAAATTTAAAATGCAGACTCAGGATTTGCTAATTATTCCTTAGATGGAGCATCATAAAAGCAAAGACTCTGGGAATTAAATCTTTAAGATCCTTGTTTTACCATCAAACTCTATCGGGCTTTTTCAAATAGGTCTAGATAAGTGTAAATCATCTTATTGGTTATAATCTATCCCTCAAATATTTTCCTCTGCTTTAATTGCTATACATCTTCTTCAACTTTGATGAACTGAGTAATGACTGTATTTCCTATTTATCTGATTTGATAGCTCATTGATGACTTAAGAGTTTTTCTCAGGTCTGAGACTGCTAGTTCTTTTATAAGAGTTTGTCTAAAAAGCTCTTCCTTTACTGGAAAGAATTCAAATGGCATAAAGTAAATCTGACTAAGCACACTTTCTGATATTAAGTCCTGTTGAGTTTTGAGATTTATGTAGACAGAAATTGGGCAGTTAGTGTATCCACCACGACTTGTTATAAGTAGTACTCTTTGACGAAGGAAATACTTCTCCAAAATAGAGGATACATGTATCTAACACTCATTGATGTACTTATAGAGATTCAAGAAAAATCCATCCTCATTTTTCTCAAAAGATTTTTCATAGTCCTTTTGAGTCCTTAGCAAAAACTGATAGGTCCTTTTTAGCTACATGAGAAGTTAGCTGTAGGAACTCATTATTCTGTCCAATTACTGGGACAAATAGAAATCATAAGGCTTGAACAAACTTGCTATTCCTGGAGTGTGCTAGTTGTTGAAAATGACATCGAAACTCGAACAAATAAAGATATCAGGAACTCTAATACTGGGTACAGATAAAGCTGATTTCTATATTGACTCTGGATTGAGCTTTTTCTATTATCTTTATAGGAAACTCAGTGGGTCATTTTGACTAAATTTTTAAAAGTCAAGAAGGAATTGTTGAGAATTGTTTTACTTGTCAATGGAGATTCGATAAACTTGTCTGTGAGTCATCTGAAATTAAAAAAATTAAATAGACTTTATTATTTAAATTTTTGACAGCAGAAATAGAATTATTTTAGCGTGATGGGGTTTTGGGGTTTTGGGG